ATTATGTCGTATAGGTGTTCTTGATCCCGATGAACTGTCATTTGTTAATAAAGAATTCGATCCAATTTCAGCCCCTATACTACAAGAATCCCGATTAAGCGGTGATTACTTATCTTTCAACTGCTTTTCGATATTTCCCCGCCCTTTTCCGAGCATATTTTGTAACTTCTGTTTCTTTGCAGCATTCAAAAATGTCAACATGGCCTCTAAACAAACTTCTCAAAGGAAAAACAGCGATATTAAGAGATCGAGAAAGGTAAAAAACGAGGTTTGTTGTGATAGAATGCCTAAACATTCGCTGGTGTTGTGTATAGAATGCTATTCTCGACTATATGACTCTTCTTTAATGTGTATGTTTCAATTCTAAAGTTAAACAAAGAACTAATCCCTCTGCATTTACTCAATGGTTCAAGAAAACTGCTAAAAGTGGAGAAGCTGCAATATGCTCTTGCAAGCCACCCAAGGTAACTTCAAGTGGGATGAAAGGTATTTTGACTAAGCCAAGAAAAAGAGACTCATTAGGAAGATCTGATGCTACAACTTCTTCTGGTAAGAAGTATATATAGAGACTTATTCAGTGCTTCATACCAAAAATGCACTACTGAGTGTGTTCAATTTTTTACAGGGTCGAGTTTAATCACAACGAAGAAAGCTTCTAGCCACAGTTCATCCCATCTTACCACTACCTGTCTGCCGTCTTCTTCAAAAGGGTCTCCTATTTCCTATGCATCTGTCAGCGTTTCAACACCTCGAGCTCCTTCTAGCCTTTTAAGTAAGAACACTGAATCTAAAATGAATAAACTGTCAATTTCTCGTTCAACTTCCAAGATTCTGGAATATTCTGAGAAGCAAAGCAAAAGGATTGGAAATACTAGTTTCTCGACTCGTTCATTGTCTGCCTTAGATCGTTATTCTTGCACACCTCCTGCTAGGTGGAGCAATAGTTCTTCCTCTGTATCATTGTCGTCGTCCTTAAGAACCAATCAGAAATCTAAAGTTTCAACGACAAAATATTGCACATTCCAGCGCAATGATGCAAAAGTAGCTCCAGATTTGCAGAAAATTTCAGGCAGTAACTTGTCCCATTCTTTGCAATCTCCAGAAATGAAGTCCCCGGTCAAATTTAGTTTTCGTGCTCTAGAAGAATTTCACCATGTTGGTTTAGAATCACCAAAAACTGGCAATGCATCTGGATTGCGAATGCCATCCCCAAAGATTGGTTATTTTGATGAGGTTAGTTTTTCTAACATTTTACTTTTCCTTCTTAGCTAACATTGAATGTAACTAGTAGGCATATTGAATTTGGAATGCAGAGCACATCTCTTGGTTCGACCAGGACAACGAAAAGAAAAGCAACTCAGAAGATTTTAACAGAAACCGTAAAAACAAAGCTCTCTTCTCTGGGCTCTGAACTGTCAAGCATTTCCCTTGGACAAACTGATTCTTATAAAAAGCCGAAAAATCCTTACTTGGAAAGATATAGGACTAATACAAGCTCGAAGACAGCTCCTCAGGTTCGGACTAATCATGTGACAGAGAAAGGAATTTGCTCAGAATCCCAGAAAACTGGTGATGGCAAATGTCATAGGAATAAGGTTGGACAGACTTGTATGCCGGAAAACGAGAAAAGTATCAAGGGCTTGATGAAGAACAAGAGGATCAAAGTAAGAAAGGGACCGAATGATGACACTTGTGTCCGTTTTAAAGAGTCTGACTTGATCAAGAATGTCACAGAAAATGGTAGCCAATTTGGCGATCTAAGCATATATTTTGAAGCTATTGATCTGAACCAGGATAAGGTGATGCCACTCAAGAACAGCAAGTGCTTGCCTTTGAAGTACGATAACAAGATAGTACAAAGGTGGGACGAAAAGGATCGTGTATGTGATCAGCAGTCGGATTCGCCTAAAACATCGTTGATCTCTCCATCGACTGTTGATTTTAAAGCAAGGACTAGAACTCCACTGGCGGAGAAAACGTCTCTTTGCAACAGAAGCAAAGCATTTTCTTCCTGTTAAATATTTCTCTAGTTTCTATGTGAATCTCATAAGTTGCTTATTCAGTGTCTAATGCACTGCAGAATCTCTAGCATTTTTTGTTGATCCACTGCAATAATCTCCATTATTGAATGCTTGAATCTTATTGATCTGCCACTTTTTGAAGGGATTTCTTTTGTTTTTCTGTTTTTCATTTGAATTTTCTGCTGGGAAGGGAAGGTGTGTTTTTAATTTGAATTGTTCCTCCTAAGGGCAATTACATATGGTCTCTAATGATAGTTTCTGTGTAGATAGGATTGCTTTGAAATGATGGACAAATATAACATCATACTTTTCTATATTATGCCCTTGTTTCAGCCCTATTTTATCAAAAATTTATTTTTTAAAAAAATATTTTCAACTACACATTTCTTCAATAAAATAATTTTACACATAAATTGAAATTTTTTCCTTATTTTTTAGCCATACTTTTATCAAAAAACGCTATTCCAAAATACAGTTTCCCCAAAAAGGGCTCAAAGAAGGACTATGTAGTACCTTTTTAGGATTAAATTTGTGATTTTACAAATAAGAGGGGCAAAATAAGTCTTTTACACTGGCTTACTATACTTTTTAAATAGAAACAGTGGTTAGGGATAAAATATATTAGTTAATACAAGATTGAGGATAAAAATGCGACGAAAAAAGTTGATAACTTAACAATATAAAAATGGTGATGGCAATATAATTGTTTCTTCTGCTTATTATAAAGGTAATTATGTTTCACATCAAAATTTTGATTTGTTACATTATATTTTAGTTGCACTTAAATTTATCAACTCTTTCTTATCATAACAATAAATCCTAACTTTTTTTCATTGAGTTTCTTATTTTTAACCTTCTATTAACTAATATACGATGATTTCTATCAAAACATTCTTTTTCTGTGTTTGTCCAAAAACATCTTTCCACCCTATCCAAAATGACACTCTCACTTGTCTTCTTCGTGGATTAGGGTTGGGAATGGGGCGGGTTAGACGACCCCGTCAGACATTTTCTGTCCCGTACCCGCCCCATTACCCTTTTAAGGCAGGGCGAGGTGAGAGGTGGGGGTTGTCTCGTTTATGTACCCATTTAATTTTTTTATAATTCATTTTATCGTTCACATTCATTCAAGCGAGACAATAATATAGTTATTAAATTTTTAATTTATTTATTTATTTTTAAAAGTTAATTTATATAAATATACTTGGTAAATCAACGTTTTTATTGTTGATTATATTCTTTAGATAATTTTAGTTGTCATCTTCTATTAAAATTAATGAAATTTCATAGAGTTTTTTCATTTAAAATATTGAATTTGTTATTAAAAAAAACAAAAAACGGGGGCGGAAGGGGCCCCTGTTATCTCGTACCCGATTAAGAGAGTAATTCCCACCTCGTTCAGGAAGAGACACTGTGGGCATCAAATTTGATGGATATTTTAGCCATCCCTATCCTGAATGTTCTCTTTCAACTGCAATAATCTTCTATTTTCTTTTGTAAGCAAAACTAACTTCGGGGAAAAAAATAAAAAAAGGAACAATTTAAGTAAATTAATTTGTCACATTTGTGAGTTTCTCAAAACTTCAGAGGGTTTAAACTTCCGAACTTTTTTTTAAACCGCAACAGTTGATGATAGTTAATAACTGGGTTCATTTCACCAATCATCAACCGAAGTTTGTGCAAAAATTCAAATTGATCCTACATTCTCACCTATTAGACACTGAAATCTTTAACAGTTCCACAATTGTTCCCTCGGTTACTAAAACTAATTTATTTGAAAATAATGAGTTATTAAATAGGTTTTTTTTTTCTTTTTTTAGATAATATGTGATTAAAAAATAAAAAAACTTTATTGGTTTATGCATAGAATATTTTATCGAGTGATGCAAAATGATCCCGAAAAACACTTTAAATTTTTAAAGAATGACAAATAGGAACTTATAGTCTAACATGACACCTTGATTTCTTGGATAAAATATATGCAAATACCAGCCAAAAGGCAAGACTTTCATCCATCTTGTTTTCGTCGTGGGTCAAGGTTTGATTAAATGACAAAGGGCTTTAGTGCAACGAATTGTGAATAACAAAGTAATTGTAATTTTCTTTTTTCTTTTTTTCACTTTTATGCATAGATGGCACGTGTTATCATGTATTTACTCATTGTACAATACATATGAATAGCATACAACGTTGGCTGTACGAATATATTCTTAACTTGAAAAACCAATCCAAAATTCAATAAATCATATAATTAGTGGCCGCAATCACAGATGCTCAGATAGAAATATTAGTATTTACAAATGACAAAAAAAACCAAAGTTCACTGAAAGTGTACATATAAAGGCAGGAATTTTGCACCATATTTGAAGCTGGAAACTTGCACTTTTCTCTATCAATGGAATTACCATAATCTGTTTCCATGGTTCAAACAAAACCGCGCTTAGCATATAATTCAGCAGAATCAACAATAAAAAATAATTTGACCAAAAAAGAAACACATCAATAGGAAGCATTGTTATCAATGTTTATTCTTAATATTTTTCTTATTTTCAACTAGGAAAAATGCTGCTGTTTGGTTGCAAAGAAATAAAGAGGCAAGAATGTCTAAAAACCAGGCATAACCAAGCCAAACTATCCTAGATGAGTGTAGGATAGCTTCTGAAAATTATCTCATGTGCTCTATAAACACTATCTATTTGTTCACTTACATGTGAACTGCCATCAAACTCAGGGGTACCCTTCAGTGGAATCAGACCGTGTAAGTCTTTTCTCAACCCCTTCACATATGCACTGCTCAACAGTAAAATAAGGCTGCACGTGCCTAATTTGACAATTTCGGCCAACGAAGAAATATGTGCCAGATATTTGGAAGATTGAGTACTTAAAGGCCTCAGTATTACTTAGGGACCTCAAGCGTTATGTTTCTCAAAGGTTGAGGACCCCATTATAATTTTCCCATAAAATAATTAATCTTGGCAGATTCACTCGTGACCAAAAACGAGTAACAATGCTAAAAAACACATTCAAACTTTGAATGCATTTGGGATTCCAGGAGTGATTTCTTAAAAAATGTATTCTTTCCCTTCTAAATAAAGTACTCTGCATATCAAGCCTTTAGACTCAACAGAGTAGCCATACAAATTGTTAGATATTAATTCATTAACCCAAACAAACTTCATTCTTTTTTTATTTATGAGATAGAGAAAGATTACAACAGCTTGCAAGTCATACAAAAATCACCAACTCAAAGAAATTCTCTTCTGCACAGATTATCCAATGTCAGGATGGCCTCACATGCTACTGTCCAAGCCAAGAAAACTAGCATTGGGCAATATAGCGGCCAACCCGCAATAAAACAAAAGGTGGTTCAAAAAAACACAGCCCACCCACCAACCTTGAGTAGTCAGGGGACTTTATTCCCCTCATAGCACTTTATCCTATTAACAACTTTTATTTACTGTAAACAGTCTCTCATACTGCTGTCTGTTGCTTAGCTCAAAGCAGATTATCAACCAACTGTACTTCCAATATAATTCTTCTTGCAGTATATTTATACAAGAATCCGGGCTTGTTTTGGTCCTTCCATTCAATTTTAACTTTAAAGTAGGAAATAGATGGGATTCTCGGAGTGATTCCTTAAAAATATTTTCTTCTCTCCTTTCTCCGTGCTATTATCTGCAGTGTCAAGCTTTTAAACTCGACGAATTTGCTAGATAATTGTTAGACATAAATCTGCTAACATAAACAAACCATTCTCCACAAGCCATTGATTTGAACAGCCAAAAGTGTTTCAAATACTACCAATCCTGATGACAGTACAGATTCTAATTCTAGCTTTTCTGTGTCTCCCTTTGATCCCAAGATCTCAAAACACCAATGAACCATCACAGCCATAAAACTATTTCACACAGGTGCTAAGAAAGATTTAAACAAGTCCCAGCATTTCTATTCGCAAAACTTACGAAAGAACACGTCATTGTTCTTCAATTCTTTTCCTTTACCAACGCACTAGGGAAGGTTAGCAATATCTTTCACGTTTTTCAATCATACAACACAGAATAGAACATATGCAATCATCACTTAAAATAATGTCTGGCAGGGTAAATGACCCAGACAAGGTAAGGGTTCAACATTGACAATTGATAAACCATTTCCTGTGAATTCCAATTGGCTAGACAGAATGCACGGTGTGATAGGCTTAAAATTTGAAATAATAAAGACCTCTGGTCATTGCAAAAGGACAATCCCCAATGATAAAAAATACGTGTGGCAGTTGACCCTCATTTTGTATATA